ACTGTATAGGGTTTTCGCATAAAATGCCTGACAATTTGGACATCGTCTGTTTTTCGTACAGCGATTTGATAACCGCACATTGATAAGTATATAGTTTACGATCCATTTTTATGTGTACTGTATAACGCTACCTGACTTCCTAGGATAGATATCACTGTGCTGGAGACTGAAATTCACTACTTCGAAGTTGGATATCTACTCGAATAAGTTTTAAACCCAATCTAGATGTTATGGCTATATGTAAATGAAATATTTTTTTCTACACAGAATAAAAAGCTATTCATATATGTGTAAAACTTGGCCACCGTGGTAATTTGTTTATTAGATGTATCACACAGTGAAACAGTATTATTTGCTATTCATATGCTCAGGTCTGCTTTGTTTAATTTAACGGTGGTAATGTAGTTTGCTCAGAGTGCTAAATGATATCAGGAATAAACCGTTCTTCATATCACAGATAGCTAGCACATGCAGTATAATTCCACTATTTGTACTCAAGTCATCATCGATATATTAGCTGTTCTACCGGATTTTGCGTCATAAGCATTCGGTGCAAGTGGTGTTTAAAGAACCAACAGAGATTAAGCAACTTTTCTTAACGCGATTGGGCCTTATAATTTCACATTGAATTCGATAAAAGTGAGAAGTTTAACTAAAGTGTGTGTGCGTGAGTGTGTGACTTTCTTTTTCAGTTACGGTAAAACAACAGTCGACTTCTGCCTGTCTGTCTGTTTTCGACATAGAACTCTGCATATATGTGCGGCAGTTCAAGTCGCCACACTCCATGTAGCACACAAAGCAAGAGAAGAAAGTAGAAGAAATGCATAATATAGACAGTAAACAGAGGTGTGAGACAAAGGAATAGTAATAACGGAGAACAAAACAGTTGAATAGGAAATCATAAGTCACAAGGAGTGGATGCATCTGCGCTAGCCACTGAGAACTATTTAGAGCCATGTCACCAATTGTTTCCAACCATTGGTTTTTACCCTCCCGAGGACCCCAGCCAGTGAGGAGGTCTACACCTTCCTACGTGGCTTAGACTAACTGTTGTAGAATTCATTGACTGGTGCCATGTTTTTGTTTGACCACCGCTAGCTCTTTTCCAGCCTGGCCCTATATCAGCTAACATTGCCCGTCGGTCAAGGAAGGCGATGGCTATGCATACGTAACACGTGTCCTAACCATCTCAGTCGACTGACTTCCCCTCCTTACCTAGCACTCGACCGATGCCGAACCTCAATATTACTCACCTTATTATACCACTTCGCGCGGGAGATAGAACGCAGGCACCTACGATCAAAGAAAGCTAGTTAGGCTGTTCATGTCTTCCACTCTCAATGGCCAGGTCTCACAGCCATAAAGAAGGACAGAGCGGACTGCTGAGCAGTACACACGCTCTTTGGTCGATAGTCGGATATCTACGCCAGAGACGGCGTAAACTGGCATATGTGACTTCTACTGATTACACACTGAATAGTTAACTTTTTTAAACAAGAATGGTAATATATTTATCACAGAAATGTTATACAATAAGCAAATCAAATTATTTTAAAATAGTATAAGCCATAAACTTAACTGTCTTCAACCTCATGATTAACGATTAAACGCAACATGAATGCCATTTTCAACACACTTCGCCAGTTTCAAATCCAGTTAATCAGAAGCCCTCAAATTGCTTTTCATCCTACATTTGTCTTCATCACCTCGTTACAGATGCTTCTTTGGCATTAATCTTAACCAAAAGTGCAGCTTGTCGTTTGCTTGACGAGAAGACATAGGGATTTTGAAGCCTTGATCTCACATATCGCTCTTGTTTTTATATGTCACTGAGGTTTCGACCTAAGTTACATATTTGTTTCCGCAGCAATTTTTGGACATTCATTACAAGACTAAAAGAAGTAGTCAACCCAAAGTGACCAACTATGATGCAGGCATTACGAAACGAAGTATATTTTGCATTGGTTTAGCCCAAAAATAACATTCTTTAGATCAGTTTAATCAGTATCTTATTTCTTTAGAACTACAGAGGCTTCGATCATGTAGACAGTTTAATTTTAGTTTCTCACTAATGAGTGAGAGTCGGGTTATTAAACGACTGATCTTAAAGAGTCACTTTTGTCTGCTTTTTTCGCCTATTTGCTATAATGTCAAGACAGTAATTTGAACACCATAATCCCATTTAACCAAGTTACACCGGATTTCTGACTGTCCGAACTTTATTATGTCTGAACAAGTTCTTACGCCTATAAACAGCAACAGGATAAGTGGAGCCTCATATTTCTTTTAAAATATGGGCTCTTTACCAGGTAAGTCCTTTTCAATACCTAGAAGCGGGGTTATTTTCTAGAAAATTAAGAGGGCAAATGCGATCATTATGGATGGGTTCAACGGAAGGCCTAGAAACCTTTTCACATTTATCTTTATTCGAATCAGCTATACACTTTTGTTTGAAATCACAGTCTATCAGTACCGCTATACCGATAAATTGTTGGTATTAGGGAAATGGTTTGCAGAGCGATATTTAGAACGGTTAGTCTGATGGTGTGTCTTGTTCGAGCTTGCCAGCTGCAATGTTTGCATACTGACGCATGTCGAAAAGCATACAACTCTGACCAGAGTCCTGGACAGACTCACTAATCATGAGTATTACAACACAGAGACTCGCACTCAGGATCATAGTAAAGTGCTTCGAATGCTTTCCAATCTATCAGCTCAAAACCCTCGTTTCATGCGCGTGCATCCGAAGTCCCTGTAGTGTCAGCAACGCACAAAACGTTAGAACCGAAGCTGTACCACTGAGTTTGATTCCCACTAAAAGTAGTTTATTCGCTGTTCAGCTAAAACATAGGAAGCTTAAAATCAAGGAATCATCTTTTCGTCATCTTTGTATACGCGCAAATAGATCTCACATCGGATGCAATTAACTATACACTGAATAGCGTTAATGTCTTCTGCAGCTCTGCACACAGCATAACCAATTTCTAGCTTGTGTAAAATTATGTCAAGCAAGCGTGGAATTAAATCAACCGCACAGGTACACAGAAGACCATTTATCGTTGTGAAGTATTGATTAGAATCCTTATCACACTTCATTTTGTCCAGTTTCTTATGCTTTATTAGCTGTCATTATGAACGCTGATGCAAGTAGATCAATGGTGGATCAACGCAGATACAAGATTAATTATTAATGCTTCAGCAAGAATAGGCAATAAGTGGTTGCACTTGCAAGAGGTTATAACTATTGTAAGTATACTCTCTTGAGCTTTAAAAAATGGACCACTAATAACCATTGATGCATTCTGGTAGAAAACTAGTAGGGTAATCTGCGTAAGGGTCTTTTGTATAAAACTAAGCAATACTAATGCGAAGACTGCAAAGTTTGATAGCGAAAACGAGTATGTCATAGAAGCAGCAGCTGCATCTGCCGACATTTAGAAGCTGTCACAGATCATCAGAGATGCAGTCAGTGAGAAGGACTGTAATGACACGTTCTAACGGTTAACAAACTACAAGTGTTATAAGGTAGGACACTGCCACGTTTTAAACGATGGCACAGAAACTCTAACTAGGGATTTGACCATACTAATGGTAAACTGGTACTATTCCATCAGTGATGAACGAGATCATCATTGAGACTCAAAGTGCATGTGACAGTCATTAGGGTAAACTGGTTGCTCTGATGTTTAGCAGACTTGCAAACACTTGAAACATTAATCCGCGAAAAGTAGGCTGGGTTTCATTCATATTTTAGATGCTCCAATCATGTGTTCAACATCTGCAAGTTATCATTACATCACCACGTGTATGTCAGGTCAAAAATACTAGTGCCTCAAGATATTATGGCTCCTTTTGATTCTTTGAATAAGACTATTTATCGATACACGTAAGTGTCCTGAGAGCGGTATCTACGTCCTCAAATTTCTATACAAGATGTCTGCAATTATTCATCATCACAGTCATCAACTGCTGGTTAGTTTAACAAGGTTGATGGGCTCAGCCGTTTCTCTTTAACCTTGTCGTTTACGCAGCCACCAACACTGTACGCGATGACGATAGTAATGTAGATCTTCTATCTAGAGAGAATTGTGTAACAGTGCATATACAAACGATACCATCTCACACAAATTACTAAAATCACACGAAAACAATTGTGTTCAGTGCCTGTATGGCATGGGTTTGGCAACGTTCAAGGGTAAAGTACTCTTGCGACGGCCTGTGTCCTCATTCACTCTTGCACATGAACTGTCAGTCATCGAGACGCTAAATTGGCAGTCAAATCTGGGGTTCACAACTCTTATGTGGAGTTTTGCCCTGTTTATAAAACCTCGTCTTTTCAAACTATAAATGCTAGACGACTCTTTGTGTATGATCAGTGTCTAATTAGGATCGTTCATACCCAACGATGTCCATGTGAGGTGTGATGGCTGGTGTTTAGGCATACCGGTGATCGTCTTTTAATAAATGATGTCATCTTGGGACAACAGTATCAGCAGCGTGGAAGTGGCCATGAATGCCATTACATGTATAAGTTGACGAATATTAGGTCCACACGAACAACTGTAGAAAAAACTGATCACTACAAGTAATTCATAAAATCTTAATGCTTAACTATTGGAACATACTTTTTCCGGGTCAAAACATACAAAACAATATCAAATTAAAAGAAATACCATAAAAGTGTAAGGAAAGATTAGATGGGGAAGAGCAAGTACACGATGATATTGAATAATATTACAATATGAATAAGGATACACAAAAAAATGTTGGAAAATCAGTTAATCATTTATGAAGTAGTATCTATTATTAACTCGACATTAAAAATTAAAGGTCTTGAAGGAAATTCATAATAATATAATATATCAAAATCTTGTGAAGAAAAGAAGTGAAACTGCAAACACTCAGTTCAAATTAACCGACTGAATATTCTTCAACTGAAAGCACACATTAACAATATAATTGAGAGAGTTATCTTGGTACTAATTAAAATACAAACTTACTCGGATTAGGAATAGCAGAACTTAAACGTTGACTTGAAGACTTCTCCGTTTGAGGGGGAGGTTTATAAGGACGAACATAATTGACAGGGAAAAGGCCTTCAGCACCAGAACTTTGAAGACGACCACGCCACCATTCAGGTTCATCTCGACCAAGAACAGTGATAATAGCGCCTTCATCAAATGTGAGTTCATCCGCATGAACTGCTTTGTAACTAAATATCGTTTGCATCATTTCCACATGACTAGACTGTACCGGTTGACTTTGATCATTTTCGTTATTATTTGAAGTAACTGCTTTAGATGCTAATACCTTTAAACTATTAGGGCTATTTTCGGTTAGATTGTTAGTGGAATTAGTTGCTTTTGATGCAATTTGATCTTTGGATAATACAGGACCTAGATAAATTGAAATAAATAATTACGAGTAATTAAATGCAGCAGGTAAACCCAAACCAGTTTATCGCGTCGGAATCATAAAAGGATTTGCATAAAATTTGATGCTAAGTAAGACAGTCATCATGTATCAGAAAGGAGGTTTATAGAGACAACCTTTGATAGTGGCATAAAATGTATCTGTGGCTTCCAAATAAATGATCATATGAAATATGTGCTTAACATTGAACAAATAAAGTATGTTATCAATTGGCCGTCAATGTTTCCCACTTCTTGTAACTCAAGCAAAAACTAACCATCAGGAAATAATTTTCTACAAGAATAGAATGACACCAACAAGAAAGATCATTAAATTAATTAACATGACAAATCCATGACAAGACTGATGAGAGAACACTTACTAGGTATATCGGATGTACCGTTAACAGTCAGAGGTGAAATGAGTCGAACGAAATCTGCAGGGAACCAGCCTATTTGACGGATATGACCTCTTTGCTATATTCAAAAAGAAGCAAAAATAGGAGAGAAAAAAAAGGCGGAATGATAATGAACAAGCGTGAATAGTACTTAAAAACCAAGCCGACAATGACGCACATACACACAAACAAATACACAGTGAAAGCGATTACTAAACAGAGACGTGACATTTAGTGATCAATAGGCACCGGAATAGTTATACACACACAGAGAATTAGTGACAACATAGTGTAAAGCTAAAAAACACACTCTAGCATGACTGCTAATCACTTGCTTGAATTAATTATGCAACGAAAAATTAATCCACTTAGTGTCACAATTAGCGGCTGAAGGAAACCTGGTATTATTTCGGGTTATTAACCATCCCCGGAGAATCAATAGAAATAAATGAGAAAATTCGCATAAACGAAGAGTAAGATAAGTCTGAACTCAATTAACCAGATATAGCATTCAGCACAAATTTCACAGGCCCATCCGTATAATCAAAAGTCCATATTATGGAGTTCGACAAAACAATTAGGCTACGAACGATGCGCAAACGCCTAGATATAATAAATATATTTTTATCCAGTCGATATCCAACCCCATTTTGTCAGACGACACTTATGATAACACCTAAACACGTTTATCCTCATAATTTCACAGTCAGTTTAAAAATATGGTTAAGTTTTCTAAAGAGAATGAACGGGATAATCAGTTCCAGTCAGTCATATCTAAATGACCAAGTGTTATTCAGCAGACAGATATGCACCTATCCAATAAAACTAAGTCCCAACCACATATGACAGTGACGCAATTCCTCAAGAGCCTTATATAATGCAGCTGATATAACCAACTGTGAATAAGTTGACAGCGATATAAAAGCATAGTTAAAACCATCTTCCAGAGATTAAGCGGAGATCCCCGGGTGCTCCGTTAGTGGGTTGGCAAAAAATAAAAAGCAGCTGACTGGTTTCAATGAAGATGCGATGTATTGTCGACAAAAGTACTAGCAAGAAAGTAGTTAAAACGTACTTTATCATCATGCAAAAAGTATAACAGCTTATACTAAAACACAAGAGTGGTAACCCTGTGTAATGGCGACGCTACGTAGCACTTTCTTATATATTGGTGCTAACAATTCCCAAAATCTCGTCTGCTTTAGTGCTAGACTCGACTTAAATCCACAAAAGAAAGGAGGTTTGATTTGGAGACAGAAAATCCACCGCGTAAAAAACACTGCCATTACTAAGAAAACTGTAGACCAATGAAAAATAAACTCATTCTTGGCTGGAATTGAGGAAACTTCTCAGTTCAAGCACAAATGATGCCGGCTGACGTAGATCTCCGGGAAACCAGCCAATCAACAAGTTTTTTTACGATGAAGCTAAACTGATTATGGGGAAATGAAATATCCACACGATGCTGGTAAGGTTGCTCAGATTGGACAATAAATGACAAGGTAATAGTATAGAACTGCTAAGATTACACCGGAATAAATGAAATGTAAGTGAGGGGAGGGGAACAACAGTCTACTCCGGTCACCGAGACACCAACCACGAAAACTATGAGCGAGTAGCTTTCATGAAGTCACTATCTACATCCAAAGCTTTTGCAGTGGGAACTCATCTCCTCCAAAATAATAACAGCAAGATCCAACTCAAAATGGAGGAAAATTACAACTATCCAATGCTATGCACTCACAAACAACCCACACCAAAAGAAGGAAGAATTCTACAGACAATTGTAAACAGTAATGGACAAGACACCAACCAAATGCGGACGTCGAAATCTTAGTGGGTGATACGAATGGAAGCCAACTTGGGAGAAAAACACCACAAGAAGAGAACTTACCATGGTTCGGGAGGCTCTTGGTGAAATGAATGAGAAAGGAGAACTTTTCACAGACTTCTGTGCCTTCAATGATTTGGCAATCGGAGGCAATGTGTACAAGTACAAAGAAATACACAAAGCCATATGGGTATCAACAAATAGACAAACGAAAAAGTAGATAGACTTTATCTTAATCTTAAGCAATTGGAGACAGTTTCTGGACATAAGATCGAGAACAGAAGCAAATGTAGGTTCAGACCAATGTCTATTGCAGGGAATCTCCGAAACTCAGTAAAAACTTTTAAAGAGGTTGGAGATAGACCATGATTAATGTTTAACATCCAAAAACTCAAGGACACATTCACTGCAGTCATCAAGAAAAAGTTAGAAACACTTTACAAAACCACGGAGCAAACGTGCTTGGAACAGCACTGGAAATATCTGAAAGAGGTGTAGAAAGAAACTTGTATAGGCATCATAGGTCCAGCACTGTGCTCTTGTTTACCCCGAGCAAGTTGTTAGACAGCATCATCTTGAAAGGCTTCCCCCGGGGAAAGGCTGGATTCAGGAGAAACAAATCATGCAACATTATGCATTAAAATCGAACAGAGTATAGAATTGTAGTCAATCCCCGACTTCAAACGGCTTTAACACTACACACTGTAAGAAACTTACATAAGCTTCATTTAGTGACTATAAGCACATGCGCATAAGCAATTCACAACGGAGAACTCCCCAAGGCGTTTGAAATGGAGACAACAATGGGTCAAGGCTGCTTACTAACACTGATGACTTCATTCATCTTGGTGGACTAGATATTGTGAAAAGCCTTGTGGAGTGAGAATATGGACAAGCGTCGGACTGAAAAAAGCATTCTAGAAGGTCTGGATTTCGAAGGTAATTTACATCCCATATCACACGAACTAAAAGATTTACAGGAGAAAACCAAGCTGGCAGAAGAGGCAATGAAGAGAAGACTTCAGGTGAACACAGAGGTGACAGAGGCCATGAAGGACTCCAACCGACATTCAACACAAATGATTAACAATGGGAGAAATCTGAACGAAATTATCTCTTCCACTCACCTGACCCTGGGTCAGCATCGTTACAACTACAGGTGGCACGGGTGACGATGTCAGGGCCAGTTAGGATCGGGAAAGCAAGGTAGCACTGAGCATAGGGAAAAATATCCGAATATTTACCATACATGTCAAATAAGTGCTTCTATTTCCTTCAGAAACTTGGCATGCCACGAAAAGCATTTCCAGCAGGCTGCACACTTTTATCAACAACGGCCAAGCACTCGAGTGGAGCCTGAATGAAAACCAATGGATTATAAGTCCAAGGATGAGATGAAGACATAATGTAAACAGGGAATAAAAGCTTGTGGGTGATCGTAGAACCGGGTGAAAGCGATGACAGAGAACTGTGGGCGATAGAGATTCGCCTCTGAGGACATATATTCCATTCCGGACACACACAAAGAAGGAATAATAATACCAGTATCGTTATCAATAATAAACAGTAGTAATAATCGATGTAATATTTCGACACAAAATCAAAACCTACTGAAGAAATGATAACATCTACGGTCTGGAGACTTGTGATCCTACTGAAGATAGTTGACAAATGAGTAAAAAAATAATTCCGAATTCACAAAATTTCGTTACCCTTACGATTCAGAAATATATGGAATCAGAGAATACTTTGAATAAACTTTGGTTACAATAAACACATAACTGATATCGTATTTAGCTAAACATCACTCAAATTCAGAGGTGCTGATAATGAACTCCAAATGATACACACTCTACTTCACATACTTCAGTTTGGATAACCGAATGATATGGCTAGTTTTCAAGCACTAAAAATTACGTATAGAAAGGTACGTAAAAATTTACCAAGTGAAGTGTATTTTCGGTGCAAATACATTACTAAATTTATGTCCAGACAATAATAATAAGCTATTTAAAGCAGAAGACACGAAATAAGGTAAACATTAGGAAATCACAAGCAAAATCTTATAAATTCCCATATCTGAAAGCATCATATCTCATTAAGATCTTCCTAAATGAAGAAATACTTGTTTCGATTGTCACAGAACCATCCGATTCACTTGTAAAAGTCTCTTCATTTATTTTCAATGAAGCATTCTTCGGAAAGTATGGACAGTTCACTTAAAATCTTTTCTGTAATACAGAGAGCACAGCCGGTCGGATTTCGCTCCACCTGTGCGTCGGTAGTTCAGCGGTAGAATGCTAGCCGAGCATGCACGTGGTCCGGGGTTCGAATCCAGGCAGGTGCACACCTTTACCTCCTCTAGCCGGTTAGAATCACGACAAAGAGGGAAGATTGGGCGTGAGGCTAGCAATCACACCCTGTAAAAGTCACCACTGATACTGAAACTTCAAAGCTCCAGCTTGAAACCCTATGTTCCACTGGGGACGCAAGGGAATAAAAAGGAAATCAGTCTTAACCTGGGGGTAACCTGCTAGTATCGCAATTCCCTATATATTAAAGTTGGTAAACAAGTAACTTCAAATGAATATCTTACGAAATGCTCAAAGAATTCATCTAAGACAGCAGTAAAATGCATCGGTTCATTTTAATATGACAGATAAACAAAAAAATAAACAACGAAATGAGGTCAACAGATAGTGTCAAACAGTCCACTTCAGAAAGAGTCAGATGCATAACAGATGCAAATTGTTTTCTAATTTATATTTCATTATTTTCGAAATAAAAACGATTCCGAAAACAAGATGAAACACTTAGTGTGTATCACTAGTCACTAGCAAGAGCATGTACTCATTATTCACAGAGTATCCGTTAATTTACCATGTCTTTTCAAACACGCCTTCTAATTTCTTCATTTAGAAAGGCAGGGGAGAGGTGTTAGAGAAAAAGAATTGCAATGCACAAATACGTTCACAGCAATTACAGGCTATATCAACTAGACTGACGAATAACTACCTTAAAATTAAGCAGATTGTGAGAAAACTATTAATTTACTCCACATGGTTGATGAACTCGACTTAAAAGTACCTAATAATTAAATTTAAAAAATCAACTCTTCTTTTCATTCGATTAATTCAAACATAGAATTAACCGACTAGGGAGTATTGAAAACAGGCATCGCAATATTACTTGCTTACTGACAGATGAATAATGCATTTCAAAACAATTATTACAGAAGGATTACTGTATGAAAACTAGACCATGGCAATAATAATATTGGTTCACAACAATGACCAGTTTACCGTCTTTAACATGTATACATGGAGACACTTATTTCATGGTATGTGTGTGTGATGGTTGCTGATGGATGGTATTATCCTGTTGCAGAAAATTTGAAATTAGGTGGAGACACGCAAGCTGGTAAGTAACTTAGAGTTCCATTCTTAAATAAAATAAAAGCGGGCAGTAGTCGTCTACAGCTAACTTTATTTGCAATAAGAAAAGAAAACACTATCCCGTTGAATTTTGTTGTTGTTGTTTTCTTTTTCTCAAAAAGAAAGACAGTTTTTCGTAGAAAATATTCAGATATGAGTATCCTTATATTGAAGACAAGAACTACACTTGGGCAAGACGAAAAGAAATTCAAAAAGCATGTATGTGTGTGGGCAGAAAATATAGGCAAATAAGCATTAAACTGAATAAAGGAGAGAGAGAAATTCGAAAAGCACAAGGGAGGGGGGGATTAAAACACCTAAGATGTCTGTTCATAAATCCTAATAAGGACACATGTATGTTAGGCTTTTAATATCGTGAAACAAACAAAAATGGAGTACTATTGAGGCGATGAGAAAGATCGTTTGTTTCTGGATAAGAATGAACTATTGAAACAAAAGGCATAATGAGTAAGACGACGAGATTAGATAATGACTGATAATAATTGTAAGATAGATAAATAAACTGAAAGCAGTGAACAATTAATCCCTTCGAAATCAACTAATCAATCCATCTCATTAATCTTCATTTTCAATTAAGTTAAGATTTGATCCAGAAGAGACCTGAATCGGTATTGGTATCATCATTATCATTATTAGTAATTTTAAAATGAAAATTGATTGAAAATAAGTGATTTGAAACAGTAAAACCCATATATATATATATATATATATATATATATATATATATATATTGATGGTACATGCAAATAAAGGCAAGCCATTCAAACGAAAGCAACGGAAGAAAACAAGAAAACAATAAAAGTGTTAGACGAATTGCCAAATAAAGAATGAAATTATGTTTATAGATAGAGATAAGGACATAGGAAAATATTAATGAAACTAAAGGTGTATATATTATGTAGAGAAGAGTGACATGACAGTGCACGTATCTCCAATGCAGTCACAGTCAGTCAAACAACTTTCATTGCATTACATCCAACGATAAGAGAAACAAAAAGGCTGTAATAGTGAAACCGACCACACTTTCAAAGCATCTCTATGAACTACATTATTTGAGAAATACTAACACCTGTACGTGCTCCTCTGTCTGCTTAAGCAAAACACATTGGGTCGAAAGGGAGACAGCGAGAATAATTCTGAAGTTTTTGGATACTATAAAATGCGGTAACTATCTGCAGGTTAGTTCGCAAATACCTTCAGACAATATTTCTGAGTTAACAGTTAGTCTAAGTCATACTTCAAAATAAATACAAATGAAGAATACTGGTTAAAAGTCTCCATTAAGTAATATAAAACCAAGAGGCATTCAGTGAAGAGTTACTCTTTTCTCAGCTTAAGAATGATATCACTAAAAAGGATGCTTTTGATAATTAAGTTTTGGCTTGCTCCACAGAAATATATTAATCTTAGTAAAATATCAACATTGCTGTCGCGTATAGTACTGTTAAATCTATGGTTATACCAATCTTTTTTTATTTTCGAGGAGTCGAGCGACTACAAGGGGGGGGGGTGATACATCAGTTAATTATTGTTCAAACGCCAATCAGTAGCAAGTGAATGGATACGGACGGAATGAATAGTATCTGTTATGTGCCCTTATGATAACACTTAATTGCTCAGGCTCTATTAACTACAGTGGCTATTGATTCCACTCTTTAAAAGTTAACTGTGTATATCAACACGTCATTACTCTACAATATTGATTCCTTTAAACCTCTTTGATCTTTATTGATAAGATTCAAGACGACAGAGGATGTGCTTTCTTACGTGAATTGGCAGAATTGAACCATGGTGTTTTTCGATAGTTGCCATTCAAATACAATAGTCTTGTAGATGACTAGGTAGGCAGTTTTCGATATTTATTGTAAAACTACTTTTAATATCATTTTAATATAAACAAAATACTAAGATCCACGAGATTTACACACACTATCTGATAATAAAGATCATGATGCTTATAAAATCCAGGTTGCCTCATGATGCAATCTAGTGACTGTGAAGTGAAGGTATACAGAATATGGAGTAGGTATAAAATAGATTGTACCGACTGTCTACAGTTAAAGCTTTATTAAACCCACTAAATGATCAGAGAGTGGTGTAAGCCCAATGGAATATTGTTTCTTTAATAATCTGTACTATAACAGTATATCCGCACAAATTTACATTTGATTTGAAATACTGGTTTCTACATACTAGGGCCTAGTTGCAGCAACATCCACGACTACAAAGTTAAGCTCTATTCGAATGAATACTGCTGCGTTACACGACGACTGAACTTGATAACTACGTCTTAAAACGTCGAAACTCACAGTTACAGATTGAAAGGTAAAGTAAATACACACCATATATATATATATATATATATATATATATATTGGATAGTGAAAATGAAAAGTGATTAAAAGTTTAATTATTCACAATCACCTGTAATTCGCCTTCCCACCAGCCTTTGGGTGACCTTTTACGAAGTTGTACCACTTGACCAGGTTGAAGACTTAGTTGACCAGCTGAAGTAGCTTTATATGGTGCAATGACTCGAGCGAACTCTGGTTGAGTACAAACAACAACACCACATGATGAAGGCGAGGATGATGCATTCGATGAAGGCAATTGGCCCATCGTTCGATCATTAGAACCTTGATCCTCTGGTTTTGGTGATGCTACAGGAGTTGACTTTGACTGAGGCAACGATGTCTAGTTTGAAAAACACAAAACAAACAATAGAAATAAATATAACCTACCAGTTATTCACAAATGATGAGAAGCCGGTGAAATAAGCGACGGTAGCATCTTATTCTGCAAAACCCGCTGTTCTGCTTTATTCAAGTTAATACACGAAAATTCTCAAATCTGTTAACTGGATAGGGCTTTAGATACTTGTATAAAAATAAATTTATTATTTAGTTATCCAAACACCTATTAGCGAAACCGAGTACAAAAGACTATCTATAGTTCAACTCAAAGGCAATACGAAGTATCCAAGTACAAGCTCATAACATTTGAATGTAACTCGAATGGCTAACTGTATACTAAAATAGTCTCCTGAAATAAACTATACGCGCGGAACGACAGATAACCACTAAACACACCACTGATAAAACAATGAAACTGTCATCTAACGTTCATACTGTTTATATGCGATTGATAAAATCCACCGTTCTGTATAAATAGTGTCAAAATATTCCCTTGGTGGGAATCCAGGATACGAGTATAATTAGCTGGGTATACTTGCCCCCTAGTCAGTTGGACAGTTTAAGTGGAAGTCAAACCCTGCACCAGAATTTTAAAATGTCAAACTGTGGCGTTGATTTAATAAAACAAAAATAAAGTTACAATTTTAAACACACCACTTTCAAGCTGTCGAGTTATAACAAAGGCGAGTATATTGTACACACTAGACGCGAAGCAAATGAACATTGGTATCACTCTACGAATACAATAATCACGGAAGCTTGATGTAGACAAGGAGCACTCAAAAAAAAATACTACCAATCTAGTTTCTCTATATTTAGAAAAAGAAACAGGTAAAATTAATCTGATGTGAAGCTGAACCGGCTTACCGCTGTTTTGTTATTTTCAGTTTGTTCCACGACTGGTCTATTAATGCCTAATTTTTCCTCCATTGATCGATTTTCCTATCCCATCATCAAAGTAAAAAAAAGAGGATGTGAAAATATTAGTAAAGAACAACAACACGATAATTCTAAAACAATAAGGTTAATACTTAAAACTACAGGAAAACTGACTGGCAAATATTAGTTTCAGAACAACTTCAGCGATAAATATAAACCTAATATATGACATAATATTTGAATACGTTTATAAAAAACTAATTAGAACAAAAAAAAACATTGAGTATGTCTATTCCTGACAAAACAGAAAGGCGTTCAAACTGACAGCATATACTATGCAGTGTTGAAAAGTCTCGTAACAAAACAACTGTACGCGATTTGCCAGCAGAACTGGAGCACAACTATTTGAACATTTAACGAACAAGCACAAGTCTTCTGTCCTCTCTGACTACTTACCTCATAAAATTGGTGTAGTTATTGAGTTACACATGTTAGCAACTGTCTAAAACTATGTCATATCTTAATAATTGATATCTTACACAGCTGATCTAATTGATGGTCACAAATCTGATGAAAAGGTTTCTCTGTTACGTCATATAACATAGAAACGACCATAAACACAGAGATTTCCTGGAATTTATTTCTGCAACTAATGAAGTACCTCAGCTAGTAGTTACCCGAGACACCAGTTATTACACAAGTGGGTAGGCGAAGTTGAAGTTTGTGCTTAAATGTACAAAGTTAATCTACAGCATAGAATATGATATAGGGAACAGTAACTAAGTGTACAAGAGTACTACAAATAGCTAGAGTTAATAATACAACAGAATTTCTACCCGTGCAGAATACATGAATATATATAAGAGTGAATTTGTGTTTTAGTGAATAGCATAAAACTTCCAAATGAACACTGAAAATGACCGGGGAATTATCTAATTCTTTTGGTAACACTAATTACTTTAGAGGTGATGGAAAAATACCAGTTTATGTGATTAATTAACACTCTACACAAAGAGGACGAAATAACCAACTGATTGGGTAATATACATTAAAAAAAGCTTAACACTGCTCACTTCTTTACTTAGTTTACGAACGTAATTTGCTGGGAATAAACCGTGGAGTTTAGTTCTTTCACACATGCCCTCCCACCAATCATCTTTAATTACATATACTCTGATTAGATCACCGACAGATAGATTTAAATCACCAGGTACATTGGATTCGTAAGGATACAAGGCTACACATGAGAAAAGGATGTTGCTCGACTGCTGTATAGGTGAATCAGATGGCAATTTAGGTGTGACATTCAGTCTGTGAAAATAAGAACATAAATATGTGTAAACATAAGATCGATGAGCAATTAACAGTGAATATTACAGAAAAAGTTTTATATTTCGGTAGTCCGTTGTTAACGTCTCTTATTATCCAAGATAGAATCATAGTGGACAAAAAGAAAATAGATATGATTTATACCCGCATTTGCGACATTTGTTACTTCAGCTTATCTTTAGTATAACAACCTAGTGTTTAATATTTTCGCTCTGATAACACTGAACAAGTTCATAGGTCATAGTCAGCTTGTATCGGTGAAAAAATTTGCAAACGTCTAGTTTATTTAATGTCAGGCGAGTGATATGACAGGTAATCCGACTTAGTGGACTTCTAGCAGTACAAAACTACTGGGCGAGCAGAACTACTCTAATCACCAATCACGTCACAAACCACAACGACAGCATTGCCACAGATATGTGAAGACAATAAGACGTACCGTTGATAGAGAGCTATAACTGCCTCAAACAACAACCAAAACAGCCAAGAGTGATGCTGATTATATATGCTTCATGTGATTTCGACAAATAATAAATCCACTGATAAGTTAAAATAGTTAACAACCAATGAGAGTTCGAACTTGATATGATTATGAGCAATAATTTTTGCTCAAAACGTCATCAGTTAATATTACTGTACAACACTGTATGATTTATCAAAATAAAATCTTATCCATAATGGAGTTATGCTCTACCACAGTGCCCAAGTTTTATAAGTATAAATTGATATAAGTAGATCAATGAGAGTTCGGCTCTCAGAAGGAGCGGGAAACACGAAATACGCCATGAGTATACCGAAACAGTCGAAAAAAGCCGTTTTGAGGTTGTAAGCAACTACTGGGTGAAAGTTACGCAAAATTAGGGGATCAAACCATAAGTTGTCTCCAGTATCTTCGTTAGCACTACCCATACAGTCTAGTATACTATATAATGCATACTGAACTAAAAAGTAATACAATAATCCAACAACACATTGATCTTATTAAATACTCCATCTAGGCTATCTGTAACTTGATTACTTACCTCCCACTTAAATACTTAAAAGATATCCGTTCCATAGTGTAAAGTCTTCCTGGAGGTTCCCAACTACTCGACAATAATATCGTTAACTCTACAAGATGTGATGCTCAGAGATTTATTGCTGATGTATAGTAAATTCCTCCCATTAGATCAATAAATACATTTCCCCCGAATTATTTGACAAAAACTGAATGCTAAAAAAACCCATTCAACAGAAATGAATCCAAGGTAAGGAGATGCTAAACGAGAATATTGACAACCCATAAGATACTCGTGACAAAAGATGGAAGTACTTATTTCCAAGCATTTGACAACTACGAAAGAAATAGAACCTATAAATTCACACTAGTGTGTGAAATAGACATTAATTCTAATTATTTTAAAATAGCATTCATGTTAACAGTAAACATGCCAAAAACGAAAACAGCTACTAACCCGTTTTTTAAATCAGAAGTAGTTTTGGTGATTGGTTTCAAACAAGAAACTGGTAGCCAACCTTGCCTGATAATGCCGGACTTCTCAACAACTTCACCATACAGCCACTCTTTATTTTCACTCTCTTTGCTGATTTTAACCTGATCTCCACTTTTTAAAGTTAGCAGCTGATCCGGCTGCACATCTACAGGTAATACTTGCGCACATTGTGAAGCGTCCCAGTTGTTCTGCACCTCTCGCAAAGACTCATCACCAGGATTTTTTAATGATTCATCTTTGACCAAACCATCTACAGGTTCAGTTGAACTGGTAAAGGGTGGGAAAAATTAGTAAACCAACAGAATATATATATTGATTGAATAGAAGTGATTAAAATTTCAAATGAACAGTTTTTAGAGAAAACTAGGTGAAAGAAACATTGGAAAACTCGGTTATTACATCGGGTAATTTGAGTTATGTTTAGAAGTGCATCGTTTTAAACAAAAATTAATATGCGACAGAAAACTTTGCAAAATCAGATAAGGGAGAGTTATTTCTTTTAGTTCTTTTTCGAGATTCCTCAGCACCATTAACTTCTGGATTGATGTAAAGATAAGGGTGCTAATGACTTGAACCTTTACACAACAATCTGACATCGTATGTTGAGAATACCTGTCTGAAGTGATACACTCATGTCTCTGTTTACGGAGTTTAACGAAACTTGTATTAAAGTATCAGTGAATCGAAGAATTATGTGTAGACTCTATAACTCAATTCCCCTTGTATAAGTTCTCGCTCTCAAAACCAAACTAGCCAAAATTACAAAACAACCGGATAATGCACCAGCTGAATACATAGTCAACTCATCAAAATAACCACCATCAAAAATGGAGGGACAAATGACTCCACAAAGGACTGAACTACAACACTGAAGAAGCTCCGAAAATCGACTTCTTCGCTGCCCTTAAACCATCAATCAAATCATCAAAATTAAATGAAGAAACACAAGAGGTACATCAGACTATCTTGCCTATAGATAAACAGAAGAAACAATACACGCAGCTCAATTCTCAAGAGTTAAAGGCCTTTAGAAGACTGAAAATGTAGTAGACATGGTCATACAACCAGCTGGACACAGAACACACTTAGAAAACTGGAGACCTATTCAAAGGTCAAAATGTATGCTCTTGTATGATTTATGTCTCCAGATTTGATTATGGTACAATGTAGTTGTTCAATACTACTTTATTTGCTATGACAATCACTGTCATGAAAAACATCTAGGAATATTAACAGTCATTAGGGAGCAAAGAAAACAATTAGCTCTTTCAACGCAAGTTGGAAATCTTCAGTGAGACCTGGTCGAAGGAAACTTAAACTTAAATCATAATTGAGGTATTAAATAATTAACAAATTGGCTAAGATTATAGGATTTGAACTAATTTAATTTTCATTGGTTACAGGATTTCATCATGAGCTAACATCAGTAAGAGAATCATTGAAAACCTGGGAGTGCTGGACAGTCATTCCGTCCTAGTTTAAGACTCTTCATAAGTACGCACTCACCGGGGTTCGAACTCAGGCCCTAGACTGTTAGATTTCGTCCCAAATCCCATGATGTAAATATCAGTCTCCAGTCTATTGATGGCTATTTGGGTGAATGTCGTGAAGATGTAGTACAAAGTCATAATCCGTGGGGTGCACCACGTCAAAGTGAAGTGAATGCTCATTGAGGGCATCGATGAGGGTAGAGCTGTATAACGAGTTGACAAATTCAGAATTCACGGGTGATTATATTCCAGCCTAAATGGCTGAATGGTCAATGGACTTGGTCGCGTAACCTGAAGCCCCGGGTCTGATCTCCAATGGAGTCGTGGGATCACACTGCTGAAGAATCCCGAAAAAGGAACAAATAAACGGCTTTCCAGTCCGGCCTGGTTTTCAATGATCTCTCTAGCCGATGTTGATTCGTGAAGAAATCTGACAAGTGAAATTAAATTGATTAGTCATTACACGCAAACTTACCAAAAGAAAAGTTTTGTAGATTAAAATGCAGTTGTGTAACAAACTTAAAATATCAGTGTGTTTTTTTTTAAAAAAACACGATCAATGCACACAATTAATTATCATGATCACTGTGTGCATTAATATCATTGACAGTAATACTAATTATAGCATCAACGCATATTTTTTGTTTTACTTCTTGATAGAATGTTGAGTGAAAAAAAACTAATCAGCTTAAGTAGAAATAAAGACTAATATGCCATCTGTAAATGTACAGACACCTTGATACAGAGTATTTATTACAAACGAACTGTTTAAGATGTATTTACAAAACGTGTCAGTAGTGAGCAACCAAAAATCAAACAACCGGTTTACTTACAATTATAAAACACGTGGCTGAACTCAGAGTAGCATGCTGAATATCCTGTACAAGAATACAGAACCTCAGACTATAAAAAAGTTTGTTTCTTGATAATGTTAAATAGAAAACAGTGAACAAAGTGACAGAGGAAGAGACTAAACCCACTGCAAGCAAAGCAAGACTGAAAACAACATACTCGATGTAAGTATTATGCTGCTACATGTACCAATTCTGTGATACTTCAACACTGAACTTTAGTGTTTACTATTACTCCGTGAACCAATCATAAATAAGCGCATTCAAATCAATCAAAGTACAAAAAATGTGAATGAAACTACAACTAAACCCACCTGACAGTATTAGTTACATTGACGGGATCAAAAGGAGAATTATTTGCAATGGCAGATGTTGTTGATGTAGTAGTTGTAACCGGATTAGAGATGTTCGTTACTTTATGAACACCAAAAGGATCAAACGGGTCAATTTTCCCATCCACTTTTTTTCTGGCATACGATTCAGGGAATAAGCCAACTTTATCATTAATCTGACCATACAACCAACCTGGGCCTACATTGATAGGCGCATTCAGAAAAACCTAAAAAATGAAAAAGAAATAGGTTTGAAAAGAAACATCACAGACGAACACGGACATTGTTGAATTCCTTTTTGTAATACACTTTCCAAAGGCTTAAAGAAAAACGTATTTTTAGTCGAAAACAAAATGTCCTAGTTTAAAACTAAGGAGAGAAATACGAGATGTTATTTTTTTTTTCTTTTTAACTACCGCATCCAAAATCATACTTATGATACTTGATGTGTTCACATTAGATTAACAATGATTGCATATTGGATAAGACAACTTGGTAAAGCTCATTCACTGACAACGTTTAACACTAATGGAGGCCGAACGACGAGAAAACAATACTAGTTGGAAAGACATTCTTATAAGACAGACAGAAATAGCTGTGTATTGCTTTTGTAAGAGAGAAGACATTAGTGATATCTAATCCACTAACATTTGGACGACGTGTAGAATTGTCTTTAACGAGTATTAATGCACCGACCAAATGCGCTAATCCAGTATAAATATCGTTGATTTAACAGTAACACATCACGTGTGAATTGTCGCTATGATCAAAGCCGTTGCAGTATTAGAGAGTGATTTGCAGTATTGTACGTAACTGGAACACACCTAAGTAGTAAACAGAGTGACTAATTCAAAAAATCTCACTTATTCAACAATAATCAATCACTATGACATAATGTGAATTCTTCTGTTGACAGCTAGGTATAATTCTGTGAGAAGTTCAACCTAGTTTGTATGACATTTTTACAAAGAAAATTTGTAGCACAGGATGACGACTGACACTGTTTGATGTTCTGTGAGCTTTGGTCCTTAAACGCTACAAAGCCTCATTTCCTTTATCAGTAATGATATTAAATGCCTTCGTTTTCGCATACGTCACAAGTTAAATTCACAGTATATACTTATCAATACAATAATCTGAAAAAAACTATATACATATAGTCATATAGTGTAGATTTGGCCCAGTAGCTGTGTAAAAATACTCTAAGACAACGATTTAACCAACAACAACAACGTAGAAAAAAACAACCCATTCACAACGTACATCAATTAGAGTTCCAGCTGTGAACGATAACTCATCAGGATGTCTAGCGGTGAAATCAAACATTGCTTCGTACAATTCCTTTTGATTACTTGATGCAGTAGTTGAATTGGATCTGTCCATCAAAAACAAGGATGGATGTGATGTCCGAAAATGTAACACAAAGGAAAGTGATACAAAAGATAGTCTTCATGTAATAAATTCAAAAACAGACGTTCATTAATATGTTCAGAAATCAACAACTTGTTACTTTTTGTTTCCATAATGTAAAGACTAAAATTTCAAAATAATAAATTAGGTTAAAAATGTAACCAGACTATATGCTGGTATTGTTACATGCTGGTCTAATTATGGTAAATGCATACAATAGACTCCATAAACTGGATTCTCAAGAACTCTATCATGAAGATCCAACCTACACCGCCAATATCGGTCGGTCGGTCGGTTTTCGACATAGAACTTTGCACATATGTGCGGCAGTTCAAGTCGCCAAACTCCATGTAGCACACAAAGCAAGAGAAGAAAGTGGGAGAAATGCATAATATAGACAGTAAACAGAGGTGTGAGACAAAGGAATAGTAATAACGCCAATATATCTTGACGAAAATACAATTTACACAAGAGTGAAAATTATATTTTTGTGACATGAACTGAGATACGCTTAGATCAGTAAGAATTTGACTCTTCATGACTTTTGCTTTAAAGCAATAGGAATAATATGGTGAATTGACTTTACTCCATTGATTTTCCACTAATCATATACAGAAGCCCAACTAAATAAGGATGAAATCACTACGTTTATTTTGCGACATTAGCCATGATTTGATGACAATAAACAGCATATAACAATTCTTAGGGGGGGGGGTGGTTAACTAGAATATTAAGTCATCTTCAACACTATAACTGCTGGTTTAATATGCCAATAGGCGATGATAAGAATGACAGAAAATATATTAGGCAGTAAGCACGTGATATCATTGGTCTTATTTCATCAGTGAAAAAAAACAGCAGCATTTTCAAGCAACACATAATCCATTAATCTAGTGGTCAAGCTGTTAGAAGCTTACTAATTAACCAAGAAGATGACAGTATTATGTAATAGTCTGTGTGAACTTACAAAATCTTGCTGTACGAGCATCTCAACTCTTCTATTGTTACCTTAATACGCTTGATAAAGTATCGTCTGCGAAATTATTAAATTAGTAGCTAAATTAGCCTCCAAAGCTTCAGGATGGTCGGGGGTGGGTGCCTTGCGCTGCGGGTTGGCCACCCCTCCGCACACCTCTTGAAATGCTCCCATATGACCGGGCGTCTTACATAGCCTCTCCTGAGGAAGTCCTACTCACCGCCTTCACGTGGCGGGGGTGTTTTTCACCAAAGTGAGAGGGCGAAAGCGGATGCCCGGCGCTCTTCACCGGGTTGACTGTCCATTGGATGACAGTCTAGGGAAGATGGCTAAACCCTGATCCCAAACCTCCAACGACTGGCATATGAAGCTCACTGGAGCTCACCGGCAGACGTGTGGACAAAGGGCTTGTTGGATGTCCTGGATGTCTGGCCCCATTCAAAAAGGCGTATGAACCGAACTCCGGTCACCGGCTGTCAATGGATAGTGGACTCCCTACTCCACTCCTACTGCCTTGTAGGTCACACTTGGTTGTGTAAAGGCTAGAGCTGCACTCTCAAACAAAAGGCCGAGCGATTCTGGGGACATCACTCGTACCAAATTCCCATGAAACTTCATGAGCTCTCTTACAAACGACTCTCACCCCGCAGCTGAAAACATGGCTTGGTAAAGTCAAGGCTGGTATGGAGTGCCTGGGGCTACAAACCGTCTACGGACTCCGTCTGTGGAACAAGAATTGGATAACCCTGTCGCAAAACCTTGCATCACATCGCCGCGCCTGGGTAGCGATGATTCGAGATGTTCATGAAGCCGGCTCATCCTCCCGTAGGAGATAGCCGAAGTAAAGTAAAAGTAAGTAACTTAGACTAACACTAGATCGGAATATTACGTAGGCCTTGAGAAAATGTATTCTGCGTTAGTGTAGAGATGTTGATAAAGACATAAGTGAAAAGCAAATATTTTTGCTAAACATATTGCTTCTAAATGTACAAACGAAGCCCTCATTTGTACAGACTTCTGAGCTTTCAATCATTTAGTGATTGGAGGCAAGGTGTACAAGCACAAGGATATACACAAAGCAACATGGGTATCGCCAGACGGACACACAACAAACCAGAGAGATTTCATCTCAGTCTCAAGGAAGTGGAGACGCAGCCTTCTGGACACAAAGTCAAGAAGGCGAGCACATGTGGGCTGAGACCATCATCTAGTTCAAGCAACCTTCAACGTGAAGCTGAAATCCCTGAAAACAACTGGAGATAGACCACAATTCAAGTTCAACATTCAACTGTGGGAACAAACCAACCAAGAGCCGATCGCTCAACAAATATGTAGGTGAAAATGGAGACCATCGAATGACATTACGCGCCAGGCCCCTCGAGTGGAATCCCAATGGGATGCGACGAGTGGATCGTCAGTCAGTGCGAGGGTGACATAGAGGAGATCATGTGAGGAGGAGATGAGAGATCGTGGACAATCGTAGTCCAAGCTGAAGAGGACGGCAGAAGATAGGACAAAGTGGAAAAGTGTTGTTGAAGCCCTATGTTCCACTCGGAACTCAAGGGAATAATAGTAATATATTAGTAAAAACAATAATAATAATAAACGTACAAACGAAGATGCTTGATGCAATATAGGTAGACTAGTTCATGTTTACAAAATATAGGACAGGGTGTGATTATGCTTCAGAAGAGATTTCACCTCAGCCTGTTCATGATGAATACGAAGCTCTGTAAACAGTATATATATATATATATATATATATATATATATATATATATATATATATATATACAACGGTTTCATTCTAAACAGTATTTTTCATTGCGTTGAATCCTCAGTATGTGATAAAATACTGCACTTAATATTCGCTTCACATTACATAGTAAGGGGGGAAATAACTACAGAACTTTATGATATTCACAGTATCACTAATGACAACAATATATAAATGTAAGCAAAGATAGATTAAAATAAGTAGTGACAACAATATAATAAAGATAGAAAGAGCTGTGTTTATTTACTGTTTCGCAGTAAGTTAACAATTTTATACCTAACACATTCTTCAACATGTAAGACGCGTGCCAGACAAGGCATCGTTGAGCTTTTATAATATCAGGCCAAGTTGACATTTCACCACAATTCTGATCGATATGAGTAGTATCTAACTGCTCATGTCAGTCAGTCATATGTGACATCATGCATTTATACTTGCTTTCCTGATTGCTGTTTACGGTATCAAGTATATCACACATTGTGATCTAAACAATTGCAATTTCCAAACGGAACTGTAGTGAAGTTTTTCCTACAGCTGCATCAACTGCAGCAAATCGCAAATTCGACACTATGCATTACCAGTTGGCTCAGGTAGCTAGCTAGGGAGGATTAGCGCTGTTTGAAATGATTCGTGTCACTGAGCTGAGTCAAATCAGATACACCACTGTCTGGTGTTTCGATCACTTCCGTCTGGCTAGTAAGCCATGCCAGTTGATATGAGTGGTATCCAACTACTCACATTAATTGGTCAGTAGTGCATGGCATCATGTGAATGTTGAGCTTGGGCGTTAGTTAGATCGACAACATAGATTAGAAGATTTCTCCTGTTCTCGTAACAATTAATACCATACATAGACAATGGAAATTATGAATTTCATGAAAACAAAAAGTTGTTTAAGCAAAATTGAGCAACTATGACGAAAAAACTTACGTGGACAACTCTGTGTTCTTTTTTCTTGATTTATATGTTTGCATTTTTTGTTCAACCGAATGCCGTAAATCAACTAAATCAAGCATAACACGAGTAACGCGTCGTTGTGAATCATCGATTTTATTTCGTCTAGTAGCTAATTCATGACCTTGCTGGGTCATATTCTGATCTAATTCATTTAATTTATTCCGTAGTTGTTCAATTGTTTTAATACGTGCCTAGATATGTTAGATAGATTAAAATTAAGTAACACAATTAAGCAATGATTTTTATGTATCAAAAAGATAATGATGGCAACCACTTATATAGCAAATGTTCATCATCACCATAATTATCACATTAGTTGCACTTTAAACGTGTCATTAAAATAAAAACCATTTGAAGCATTAAAAAAATTAGTGTTTTACACTCTCACTAAAGCAGATCGACAATTTATGCATTGATATATTGTAGAGAGAGATCGTGCCGATAAACTCAACAATAAAAATTTACTTAGTTGATTGGCTTTATGGACATGATAGTGCAGCAGTATTTGCACTATGTTGACACTGATGACGATAGTGGTAGACTAAAGTTTAAGTGTCGATTGGCTTTTTAATTTAAGACTGTATTTTATTAGTAAAACTTAATATGCCTAGCTTATAAGTCCATAACACAGACATACTTGTACAGAGAGGCACAAACCTGTATAGTATCAGTGCTATTACTACATTAGCAATAAGGCCCTATCAACACACACACACACACCATAGTCAAGTAATTTAGCCTACATGTTGATCCAATAGATGCAAAGTACAAATTTAATTGATACAAAAAAAAATTGGTAGTTGGCCAAACAGACACATCACCTGACTATCGAATTTTAACCAGTTAACACATAACTGAGTGATGAATACACGTTTAATTGTACGTGGTATTAATTCCTACTGAAATTGTATATGGAGAACACAATTTATCGGCATGTCTAACTGTGAATTAATTTCGACACTTTCGGTTCATTATAACAGCACTTTTCTTAATTCACGAAAACCAATAACCCTTGTCATGAGTCACAAGTTTCAGTAATGTGTATGCCTCATGCAACTACTTCCTTATCTTACGACCGAAATTCGATTAATAGGTCAGAGCAGTTCGATAATCAGGAGAGTCATAGTTGAATCTAAGTCTCTGTTCAAAATTCAGTCAACAATCCCTTAGCATAGGTCAACACGAGTATGAAAGAAAAATAGATAGCATCACAATGATGACAGACCGGCTGTAAGCTTTTAGGAAATGTAGTTTGTTTCAGGGTCGATTTCGTCACTACATGTGAAATACGCCTTCTATACAACTCTATCACAACTGTAGAAAGTAGAGCTGTTAGTAGCGGTGAAGTACTGCATAACGATTGCGAGGAATGCGAAATATTTACCATCTTACTAGAAAAATAATTCTACACAGGATGAATCAAAAAATTTAGCTGCAATCTGGCTGCCTTTCGGATCAAATAGTGGCCATTAATCTAATTAAGAATATTGCTAGAGAGATTTCAACAATACATTAACCTTCTTCGTCTTCTCTTACATCCATCTACTAGTTTTAATATCAAGGAAACAATTCTGATGAGAATCACCCTAAGGAGTTAACAAACTGACAAAATTTTGTCTAGATTTATTTTGAATAACTTAACATACACGCAAGGAGTCAGCCTGTTATATGACTTACCTCACGCATTGACTGTAATGTCTTATATTGTTCCATAACGGGATTCATATCCACTCCAGCTGCCATACGCAAGCTTAACTGCTCTTTTTCTCTTTGCCAGTGTGTCAATTCCGCTTTGGCAGCTTCCATTTGTTCAGTCATATCTCGTATATCACGTTCATAGGCATCGCGTTTACCACGCATTTCATTAATAACTGTTTTATGAGAATCAACTTCAGTTTGTGCAACTGTTAGACGCGAATCTAATTCGGATAAACGTTGTTGTTGAGATGATGCTGATTCAAGTAGACTTGCACGATGCGCAACAGCCTTAATAAATGTATTAATAGAAAGAACATAGATCAGATGAAAACAGATTGAATACACTGAACAGATATGAATGTGTATTAAAATAAGTAGATATACATACACTATCGGCAATACAAAATATCGGGTAAGTGTAGACAATGTTGCAATATAAACAAAACAATTGAAAAACCAAATAAGCAGGGAAGTACAGACTGTCCGATTAACGTCCTCTAGCGTAAAAGTATTCATTTGTCGCTAAAATCCCCAGTCTTTGCTAATTTCTATTGGTTTATTGTATCTTCTTTTGTGTTCTTTTCTTTTTGAGTATTTTAACTTCATATTATTTTGATTCACTTTAAGTTTTCTTGCTATTGTCAGGTGTGTTAAACTGAAACAGTGAACCATTTGACCTCAGGTATGGTGACCGCATATTTTAAGTCTTAAAAATGTTGTCACATTACTTTGCATCATACACTTCTTAATGTGCAAAATGCATGAATTTTGTCCTATAAATAAAGAAGTACTTGCATTACACAGAAGGAATTCTTAAAGTACTAGGGGCAGCACTGTTTCAAAGATGTAATAGGACTGATTTTCCAATGCTCTTCTACTTTTTCTTGTTCATTTTGGTGGTTTTACTGTCGTACTGATTTCATTCTGTACCGTAAAAAAACGAGAAAATAGATAACAGAGACTGCACAACTGAACTCGGAAGCTTCAACAAACGCAGGCAGTGGAACCACAAGCCTCCTCTATAACAAAATATTACTGATATGAATCATACGATTGATGTCAAAATAGCTCAAGATTATCTATAAGAACCGTTGAGGCAGTAGCCATCCATGAAATTAAGCTTCCACCTCTGTATACGTGGAGATTTGACGTATTAGCTCAGGTGCTCGGTTTTCAGCTGATGGATCACGGGTCCTAGGAACCGCCCCACCCATTTCAGTCTGAGCAAATGCGTAGTATCATTAGCCGTCACATTATTAGTATAGCTCTTAGCCTCGTACATGAAAAATCTTTTCTGAATAACCACCTTCAAACAACCTACCTTGGTAATCCTTATCTAATTATATTGCCAAGTGTAGTATTATTTATCATCCGTCTTATTCTTACATCCCTTTTAACTTAGTTTACACTTTAATTGGCTTTTCATTATTTTCATTTTTCATATATACTGTGATTTGAAAAGCAAATGTGTAATCAGACTGTCCGAGATGTATTGTACAAATACATCACATTCTTCAGATAAACTTCGTCTTCTAATAACTCTGTTCAGTTTTATGTAAAACCGTGTAGATTCACGTGTAAATACCAATAATTCTAAACTATGCAATTATTTAATTCGGAATTTCGATGTCTTATTTTAATACGAAAAGCTGTTACCATCTTTATTCTCATAGGCTTCCTACACAAAACAGAACAGAAATAAGTCATTATGACTAAATACTAGCTTACTTGCTCCAACAGAGTTTGTACATGATTTCGTTCCTTTAAAAGAGCTTCAGTACGAAGGCGCTCTGACTCTATTTGACGCTGCTTTTCAGCCTCCCGTGCAGCTTTCATCCTTTGCTCAACAGCTTGACGACGACGTTGTTCTCGTTGCGCTTCAAGCTGTCGTGCAAGTTCAGCCTGTTTTTCAGCTTCCGCCGCCTGTTGGCGCTCTTTCTCCAAGCTAAAATAATCGAATTCCCAGAAATACAACAAAGGTGAAAATACAAAATTTGACTCTTCTTTGTGTGACACTTAGATTACAAACCTCAGTGAACAAAGGAAATATTAATGATAAGGTTCGAAAGTGTCTGGTTCGCAAAAACGGACGAATTCAATACACCATTTTAGAAGAACACTTTCTCATGGTTGCTATTTGGTATTTTGATTACCAGAAGTTAAGATAAAAAACATGATTGTTATCAATAATCACTTATATCTACCTTTTACACTGACGGCCTACTATTTTGATGTGGCGGTTAAACAATACTGACTGGAGGAACTAATAAGTCTGAAAGGTCGGCGGTAAAAGTCGCAACGTAGAAAACAAGCAGATATGAAGCTTTTAATTACCCAGCTTGTGAATAAAAAGCTACAGTCTATATTTAGAGAGGAGTTGGTTAAATATTATTTAGAATTCAGCCTATATATTCTTTTATATTAAACAATGAATTGCATTTATTATGTGCGGATTGATGGTACTCCCCAGTCGCTAAAGCCGAAGTAGATACAGCAGGATTCGAAACCAATAACCTACCCGCCGAAAATCAAGTACTAAAGGCAATGGGTCACATTCCCATACATATCCGAGTGACATTTATTCTAGAGAAGTCACTCTTTCGGAAACGGTCGACAGTCTAGAACCAAAAGCTTTCAACAGTTAGCCAATCTGTATAGTTTCACTTGAACAAACTGATGTAAGAAGACTAATTCTAGAGAGCTCCAAGCATGATACGAAACAAAATTACGTAGACCGAATGAAAGTTCTCATAACAGGAGAAATGCAAAACAGATTAACACTAGGTAGTTCTCACCAAATATTTGCATCTTTTAAGGAGAAAGGATATAGAAAGACTAGTAAATAAAAAAATTTGCCAGAAAGATGGTGGTTTGTTAACTTTCCGGGATAGATGGATGTGTGTTGTGAGTTCCAGATCGCAGCCTTCCTCGATGAGAAATATGATTAACAATAGAATTGATTTGTAAAAGTCTTGAGTAGTCACACCAAAAGTGAAATTTTGGGCATTATCAATTAGTTACCACTGAAAACCTCTGAAAGTCCCTAAATCATGTTGAACGGAAAAATCATCGCCAATTATCCATCCATTTGCTAAATTTCTGCAACCAATAGCAGGTGGCTCACTTAGGTACATGAATAGCAGGAATTTTTAATTCTGATATCGCTAAATACCATTCCGTTTCAAGACTCTGTAAGTGATTAACCCATCAGCCTAAATGAAGCATTAATATAATTTTACACCACTGAGACAAGTCAGACGTTGTAAAATTTCAGGAAAAAAAGTATGTCTTAAATGGGAACGGACCTAAACACCAATTATACGTTGAAAAATACAACTTCATTAAGAGGACCAAGATGAATAATACCCGAAAGATGATAAATGAAAGGAACACATCAATCTCAATGTATAAAATAACGAGTAAAATACAGAGTATAAGTCGGGTGAGCAAGCAGATTTCAGTTGGCTGTGTAAAATATCTATACTGTTAATAAACTGTATCGCATGTTGAACTATTGTGTTTTTTTAAAGACAAAATCATCTCTAACCGACGTCAGCTCATGATGAAATCCTGTAACCAATCAATCAAATCCCTACAAACCAATACTTGAATATGAATGAGATGCTCACTAGTGACTGGCCCTATTCAGGTAGGTAGTAACCTGGGGTTCTAGTGGGAAGTCGTGACCAGTAGGGTACAGTATGTCGGGCGTGAGGACAAATACTCGCCGAAGACATTGCTAAGTGGTCGCGCTATATCGTGAAATGGCAGAAGTTGGAATTCATGGGTCACTGGGTCGGGTCCCAGTGACTTAATGGTCTTCGAGTTCGCCTTGTAACCAGAAGGTCCTGGGTTCGAACCCCGGTGGGTGTGTACCGATGAACAGTCCCAAATTAGGACGAAACAGCTGTTCAATACTCCTAGTGTGGTGAGAGCAAGCTGCTAGCCAATTGGTAGACATTGATCTACGCTGATTGGTAGAAATTAATCTAGGCTGATTCAAGGACCAATCACAGCTGACCTTGACATGGACAAATATGATTCGCAGACAAGTGGCTCGCATTTCCGAGAAACATCGAAAACGAGAAAGCAGAAGACTGCGTTTGTGTGCAAACAACCAATCAGAAGACCGCCTTCTTTCTGCGGGCAGAAGCCTATTAATGTACGTAAAATACATATAAATACCTGTTGGTTTTCGTAATAAAACTGATCTGTTGCCAGCCTTGTCTTCTGTTGTTACATTTGGTGTCGCTGCCTACCGACAAATGGAAAGCCTATGCCCTGCAGTTTTTGATGGAGACATATGGATCTTCGCGCAGGACTTCGAGGCTTCTTCGCAGTTGAGTGGCGTTCAAGATCTGTCAGCGATGAGGCTGCTACTTGGGACGCTGCTGGGAGGTCGGGAGAAAGCAGCATATGGAAGTGTGAGGCGAAATACCTACGAATGTGCGACAGAGTCAGGCAAACAGTTTCCAAAGTGGGAAGGACCATATATGGTCACGTTGAGATGGGGTTACGCAGACACAATCGCAATGGTAAACACCGTTAAACAAGTGGGCATCCGCAAGCGCCGAGATTCCAGACAGCAAGACAACAGAGCAAAGTCCCAAGAACCGAGAAGACCGAGCCGACTTCAGTCCAAACTATTTGACGGGGGGACGAGTGTGGTGAGAGCTGTCTACTAGCCAAGTGGTGGACAGTAATTGAGGTCAATGTTTATGTATCAAATATTAGTCATGTTGTGGTGAGAGATGGTTGCTGGCCAAATTGGTTGACAGTAATTGAGGTCAAAGGTCAAGGTAGACAGGCGGTTACAGTTAACATATAGATGAACTGACACAGCCACAAGAGATGCAAGGTCAACTTTGTGTGACAAACGACCAATCAACAGACTGTATTTCTACTAACATTGACCTACAATAATGTACATGAAAATCTATAAATACGTGTTGATTTTTCGTAATAAACGATCTGTTGCCTGGCCCTTGTCTTCTGTTGTTACACTAGGTCTTTCAATGGTTCTCTAACTGATGTCAGCTCATAATGAAATCCTGTAAACAATCATTTGAACATTACTTATTTTGTTGTTTGCATCAGGTCACTTGAAAAGAAGATAAGTAAATAATGATAATGGATATTAGAACCGAGTACATTAGCCTAATATTGTATTACTGAACACCATACTGAATTCAATTCACACACATGGTCATATTTGATTAAACATAAGCAAATTCATACTGACCGTAGTTTCTGCTGTTTTTCTCTTTCCAGTCGCTCATTTTCCAAACGAATTTCCTCTTCTTGGCGCATCTTTTCTGCCAACTCCTGTTTCCGTCGATCCAGTTCTGCCTGACCCTGTCGGAAATTTTCTCTTCGTTTGTCTTCAAAACTAAGAGCTTTACAAATACAGATTTCAGAGCATATGAATAACATATATACGAGGTACCTTATCTACTCAAAACAATACACTTCTATCGAATCAAATCAATTGAATATTCAGTAATACATCAATAAGATAAATAGAAACGAGTAGTTGGTTTGTCTTAGTCTCCTACTTTCAGAATTAGTGTTCTACGTCTGTTGTACAGATTTACTTTAAGTGATATTGGTGGTTCAGCTAGCTGAGCGGAGGTAGTATACAATTGGATGAATTTCGATGCAAATTTACTTAGAATATATTCAAGTCAGTTTTCACACAACTGTCACATCAATGTCTTCAGTAAAATTTAAGTGAATATTGTAATATATGTATATGGAAATATGCCACTGTATCTGCGCTGTGCATTTGCTGGCTGCTCAACAAAAAGATACATCCGACATTTTAATAAAGCTACTTGAGTTTAATGCATATACTTGTGTTTTCCAGTGTTGACGATATATAGGTTACGGTGACAAGCGAATAACAAACTCTTGAAGGGCTGTGCATATAATTTATTCTCAATAGAAAACATCACTTATAAGCTAGCAACTAGGCACTGTAATATAATCAAATAAGCCTCATCATAAGATAGAGATACTCTCACAAATAATCAGTGTATTACAAAACTGTGGCAAAATAAAATGCCAGTAGTCAAAGTTATTGTGTATAAAATGGTTTTACAAAAAAAGGTGAATAGACTATGTTGAACAATAGAAATGCAGTCTGAATGACTGAGGAATGATAAATTTACTTCATTACAACGTGGATTTTTTTAAGTAATTAATGAAGTTGACAATATGTTGTATTCTAGACTCAGTACCAAATCAAGGAAGGGATTATTACTGAGGCAATAACCTTAAGGCCGCGTCAGAATTAATACAAAAATCTGTTCAGTTAAGTGAATCTTTGTATCCAATTTAAACAAAAATGTTGACAAACAGAGGAAAGTCAACTACTTTAACTTTCAGTTGACAAACATCTCTTCTAGTAGAAATTAATAATAAACTCCAGTATAGACTAGTCATAATATTTGAAATACCCACATGGACAGTTAAACAGTTAAACTGTGTCAGCCCGAATCAATCTAATGTAGATGCATACCAAACACATTCACACAAAAATAAATAAAACCAATGGTTGGAAACAATTGGTGACATGGCTCAAAATCGTTCTCAGTGGTGCAGATGCATCCACTCCTTGTGACTTATGATTTCCAATTAAACTGTTTTATTCTCCGTTATTACTATTCCTTTGTGTCACACCTCTGTTTACTGTCTATATTATGCATGTCTTCTACTTCCTTCTCTTGCTTTGCGTGCTACATAGATTGTGGCGACTTGAACTACCGCACATATGTGCAAAGTTCTATGTCGAAAACCGACCGACCGATTCATCGATCACTCGAAAGACTGACTAGTATTACTGCTACTGTTAACTACTAGTACTGCAGTTATAGATAACATGGGATGCAAAAATAATGAAGAAATTATTTAATTGTATAGATAAACTTAATCATACACGATGGTTTGTTTTCTTTGCTTTCATTATCATCTTCTTTAGAACTAACATTGGCAGGTGATATTGAATTGCTAAATGGGCGCTAGTTTGAATAAGAGAAAAAATACAACAATAATTAATAAGATATACGGTCAGATTAACAGCAATAGTAATATAAGAAAGTAATGATACTGAAAACTGTAAGATATCGTGTAACGTTATTACTGCAGACTTCAAAGCTGTATATCAGGCAATGAGCCACATATTTTGTTAGGGCTGAACTAGGTGTGACTGGACTAGAATCCCGAATGCATCGGCTGAAGGTCGAGAGCATAAGTTAACGAGCAGACTTTAGACAGTTCATACTCCTATATATATAATAGTGTCGCTATTATACATCAGAAAACCACGCCTACTATGAGGGGGCTAGTGACGCTACTCAGTCGCCATACTACGATTGACAGAGATTTCAAACTCATATGCTCACAAGCTGATTGCTTTCATCAATGAGCTATAGCCTTCTATTCTTAAAGATTTGCACAGGTGCTGAGTGAACACTGCTTACCTGCCTAATGACATTATATATATCCACATTTCATGCAAAACGTGAAATATATCAACAACAACTTATGTACAAATACATTATGTTAAAAAAATAAGCACAAGAAGGAGAATTTTCCACTGACTTTCCTTCATGTTCTACTGCAACACACATTGATAATTAATTGAAAACCAAGCTACTTTTCATTGGTTGGCTGCTAAGTGTTTATGAAACGAGAACATACAAATGACAGCTGGTGAGTTTTCAAAATGGTCAGCGATGCTTTCTAATGTTACAGAGACACAAATATAGAGAAAAACAACATGAAAACCTTGACTTTGAGTCAATGAATTTACGTAACGAATCAAGACACACACGTCTAAACGATCTTGTTTCGTGCTGGTTGCATTAGCAATCTCGTCAATGAATGTCAACAGTAGATGCAACTAATGATTCATGCAGTAACGTTGATTATGAACCGGTTGAACTGAGGAACTGCAGGCAGTCATTAAAACGGGAATTCTTTAACTGTAACTAGACCACAATTGTAATGAAATGGTGAAGTCATTTTTTATTTCTAAATTACTATGTGAAGTTTACTCTGGTGTGACTAAAAACTACTAGTGTAATGTGCATACTTAATCTTCAGAAAATGACGGATTCTTCCAAATTTGTCATGCTATACTAACTATGTAGACGGATAGTATCTTTATCTTTCACGCATCAGGTGTTACTCCTAACCTCATACACACACATTTTCACTTTATGTCAATATATCAACGTGGCCACTTGAATCGTATTATTACTAAATCAGGTAGGTTCTGCGTTTTTAATGCTCCAAAATTTACTGATGATAGTAATCCTTACTTGTTAGTCCATTCACAGATGCAATGAACGTTAAGATAGCACAGTAGTTACACTGTAACGTGTTTAGCGAAAGGTGTGATATTATTTGTTAATGCAGGTCCACACCAACACTGACATTTTATTGAAATATCCGAACAGGTTAAAAAATTTTGTACTGTGATCCTGGATAGTTAGTGTACATTGTGAGAGGAGTTCGAATTGCAACAAAAACCATCTTGCATAACTCACTATCTGTTTAACAGTCTTTAATTCGTCCTACCTATAAAGAAACTCAACTCTAGTAGGAATGTTGACTGTCTTGATGAAATATACTAGTTTGCTGAATAAGTGGTGAAAATAACTAGAATATAAAAAATGAATCCACAGTGAAGAAAAGCATAGTATATACATACTGTTTGATTAGAAGGCAGAAGACCAGGCGGAAGCGTACTAGGGAGTTGAGATCCAGAAAGTGCTTTTTCGATCAGGAATATAGCAATACAAAATTCATCACAATTTAAATTGCCATCCTTATCCAAATCTGCAAGATTCCTAAGGGAAAAAGTAAAACAATATTACGTGAACAGGAATTGAAACACGACCACGTTTGGAACCAATATAAGCCGCAATTCAAAAGAAACACGGCATATTTCTAAAACTATATACTGTATTTGCAAAATTTAATTGATTCAGAAGTGCTGAGTAAAATGTATTAAGTTCTTAAGAAACTACACAACTGATACATAGTATTATCTTACCAGATATGAGCAAGTACAGGATTTGAAAGACCATATTGTAGGAGAATACTTCTGGCTTCTACACCAGTTAGAAAACCACGTTTATTGCGATCATGCTGATTGAAAAGAAGTCGATAGCGCGGACGATTGTTTTGTGATATAACCCAATCTTGATAAGCTGTGGATGAAAAGTTAGAATCATGTCCATTTGACGACGACACAGAAGATAAACCATTTTGACCTGATAGAGAGGAAAAGGTAGTTGTACTTAAACTTCAACGCAAAAGTTCATTCTCATTAAACAAAAAATTCACTGGTAGGCGAACTAAGAAGTGACTTACGATCTGATGGGAATAAGATTAACGCGCTTTATTGTTATTGAGAGACCTACTTATCAGCACACTTCAGGAAAATGAAATAATTCCATGTTGAGAAGTCTTATGTAAGTAGAAAATTTTAAAGAAATCAAGTCTTTGTATATTCCTCACATGTATGCGACTCAAAATAGAACTTTAATAAAATACCGGAGGTGGAGATGCAATACCGCTTCTTAATACGTAGTCATAGGATCCTGAAGATACCTAACCTAATACTAATATCACTTCATAAGTAATGTGAATAAATACTTTATTTGGATATCAAATTCTACAGATTCCATATACAAAAAGAAAACTATAAGTCACTCACTCGTACAAAAGCAAAGAATGCATAAATTGTGAAAAATTACCTGAATTGGTTACCAAACTCAGGGCTAGTGTAGACCCCGACATCACGAACGCAGGTTGAGGATCATTCTTCAGGCCTAAAGGTAGAGTAAGTGGCAAAGGTGTGCCTTCTAGGGCCTTCTTTATGAGGAACATGGCTATTGAGAACTCCTTTTTGTCCATTTTTCCATCCATATCCATGTCTGCAAGAGACCTGAGAACATCACTCATAATAATATAGCAATTTATACCATATCTGCCCCAACACCATAACAGAAAGACCTGATTTCATAAAGAAGGCTTTTGCTTGTTCCCCTGAAATATCACTCAAATGTCAGCAAGTGATAGACTTACCTGTTATGTAACCACTAACAGGCTTGAGAAACTGAAATTGGGCGTCATGCTTAACCCTATCATCGGTTGTTATAAACCAACGATCCCATTCAGCTAAAATATTCAGAGATAAGAAATAACATATTTTTTTAAATCTGTGATTTGGAATGTACTTAGAGCCCATTTATAAAAGGATTCTATGACAGGATTTAATGAATTCATCAAATTCTGGTGAAAATCTTCAGACCAATACTCTATATCCAGAGAAACATACTGTCGGAAATACATTGGGGATATAACACTGATAAGTAAATAAACTACATTGAATTGATCGTATAAAACGACATATTTAAATGTTTTTTTTCAGGTCATGTTCAAATAGATAGGGGGAAGAGAGTATGAGAAATAAAATTCAAGATAAAATGCATTACCGTTCAATTATATCACTTAAGTGAACAATTAGCTATCAGAGGAAGAAATTAAATGTATCATGAATTGAGAACTGAGTAATAATAATAGCGATGATAATAATAATGCTGGAACGAATTAAGATAATGTCACTGATAGAAGATAGTTTCAAACGAATCAGGGATAATAATGAGGTACAATAAAGCATTAGTTATAATAATAATAATAGTAATAATAATAATAATAACAGTTGATAAGTAAAACATATTACCATGGTAGATTCAGAGGCGCAACCATTTCCTCTTGTGAAAGAGACCTGGTTTATAAACTAACTGCACGAGCATCCGCAGTTGCAAGCATTTTGCTGTTTCTTTGTTTGCTGACAACAGCGAATGACTTGACAGCGTCAACATCGTGTCCGTAGTTCAAAAGGTGCTTTGTTATTGACCTTTTTAGCACTAACTTCAGGCGGTTTTCAACCACTCTGACAAATGTTCCATCAAGCGAATAACATTCATCTTTCTGTACAATTTCTCTATGTATTTGCTTCCACAAACACACAAATGCGTAATGGAGCATTTGCCAGTGGTTGAGAAAGCACCTGAAGTCGAAGTGCGAAGAAGTTTGTTTTCTTACTAGCCTTATATCACCCAGTGTATGCTCAATAGTATGTATATATACACATACACACACATATATATATATATAATATCCCTGTATTTAGAGTATTCAGCTAAAGTCCCACCGGAATTTGATGAATTCATTAAGTCCTGCTTTATCAACACCTGTTGCTTGCTTTAAATTTGTATCCGGAAATAGGTGTTTCTAATAAAACCCATGTTTGAAAACTTTGGTGGAAGCAACTTACTGATTTAAGATCCTACGTATGGCCTATAATAGCCGAATAACACCTATGAAGTACGTAAAAAGCCTCGAGATGATAGGTATCGACCAAAGTCCATTAATGTCCTTATCGCACCAGCTAGCATTTTCGTCGTGAGGGCTGCAGAATTTTCGAAGCAAAATTGTCGGGCGCATTGCAGTCTACCCAAAAGTTCCTGCAGTGCACATGAAGTCAATGCTTGCTGGGATACGAAGTCTTGGCGCAAACAAATATGATTACACTAAAAGTTGGTCAACGTGGACCACATATTCCACATTTGGGAAACCTTGCGCCAGTCTCACTTGTATTATGTCAAATAGGTACGACAGACAAAACCTGAGGCAAATGGGAGAGACAGTGACGACATAAGCAAAAAAATAAAGCTCAAACCGACAAAAGTCGACAGTCTCAGGTAGCCTAAATGTGTCACGAGGCCTCGTAGATAACACGGGTGAAAATGAAAAATGCATCAAGAGGCCTACTCTACCAGTGAGTTCATTCTTTCTCACAATCTTAGGATTGACGATTATATAGACTCGCAGGATGGTTACTGATATGTACTCCTGGGAAAAAGGCGCTAACTCCAAAGTGATAGCTTAGATGCTCTGTCATGAAAAACTGTTAGACAACAATACTATTTCAAACAATGACAAGATACCTCAGGAATGTGCTTACGAATCAACGCACATACAAAATTGAGACATACATATAAGAAAGAGGATGTAACTAAAATCAAAGCATTATGTTATGCTGTTCAGAGCAAAATGTACATCTTGCTTTGAATAGAAATTAAAGTTGAACTATCCGCAAACACGTCGATGCGACCCAAAAAATCTCTCATAATTACATCCACAATGAACAGAAGTATATGTTTACGACGAAATGTTTGTTCATCAATAGAAGTAGCCTCCATGACAAGTCTGGCATCGTCCTTAAAGCAGGCCAAAAACCATGTTCATACTCATCACCAATTTATTAAAATAACACATTTCCGAAACAAGAACGCAGACAATTAGTTGCCCTTTGTAAAAAAAAAGATGTATCTACCCATTTCTGTTCCCAAACCGAGTGACCCGGTAACATGTGACCGCAATAATGTTTGGCGTTTGCGTAACAAAACAAATTTTCACTCAGTAAGATACTATGGTGAGATCCATCACCTCAGCATTTGACTGAATGTAATGTGACATTTGTTCACCAAAATACACATAAAAGTTAGATTTTGCGGAAGGTCAAAAGTGCTTTTGACCACATTGTGTAAACTTTATGAATTCTTGGCACTAGCTTCTTGTTATTTCAGGATGGTCCTAGGTCTTTGACATATTCCATACCATTCTATACCCTCCGTTGCTGCAGCTTTTTTAGATTCAAGAAGAGGAGGTTGACTAGTTCATACCATCTCAGTGGCTCTACTGAGACAAGCAAATTCTATCGTTTAGGGAAATCTTCCAGTTCGGTCTACGAGTACTCTAGAGAGATCAATTCTGAACAAGCGAAACAAAGTGGGGAGACTCGATTGACAAAACGAATTAAAGATGCAGCAAGACAATTGTGTGTAAGACACATAAGACGGCAGTAGCATATGCACACAACAGGAAAATAATAAAATAACGAGACGCACAGGGGTAGAGATAGAGACGATTAAAGTGGAGTAGTGAAGCGTAGAAAATTACTGGAATATTTGGAGTTCCATTACAGTCTACTTCCAATTAGATGTGTACAAATGCAACACTTTTACGCATCAGTCTAGCCTTCCCTTGAAGCTACCAAGTGATGTAGCGTTTGCCACATAGGTAGTGAATTCCACATGTGACAAACTCTGTGTGATAGGCTTTTCCATTAGGGTCACCTCAAAGAGTACTGTAACGCTGTCCTGGTAGAATGTAATGATTCAGGTGTTTTGGGATATGCACCAGTTTTAGTCGTTGCCTCCCCCAGTAGATATGAGTTGTTAGTGTAGTTCCATTTGGACTTTCAGCACCAGTAAAAAACACTAAGTTTATGACTACTAATGGAAGAGGGTCAGGGTTTCCTACAGTCTAAGTATGGCTCATCCCCCAGTTTCTACCACAACCTGACATATTCAGTACTGAAGAGCTTAAGTTATTTGGCAGATCTTTTGTAAATATCAAGAATAACAGCGGACCAGGAGAGCACTTTATGATACCCAAGTGGATAGAGTCTTCCATGTTGCCTGTAAAAATGTCGTCTCCGTAATAATTCTCCTATCACACTGGTTGGCCTTAGTCCAGGGTGAGAATAAATTTCTGATTCTGTTCTCCAACAATGTTTCGTGTGACACAGGGATCAGAGTAAGAGATGATGTAGTAGGCTACTAATTTTTTGGCATCTTTCGCCTGTCTAGTAAGTGCCCAATTAATTTTATGAGTAAGACATGGAAAGTGTAGGGATCTGTTTAAGAATAGCCGGTCTTTTGTTATCACACCCAACAAACGTTTTTGCAGAACCATACTCAGATTTGTTTGAGTTGGTGTTTTCTCTAGGATATCTGACGACCACCCTCGATAAGTAGTGTTAGTTGACACAGGAATAGATTTCGGTGGAGTTAAGAGTGGTCAGAACAAAAACATCTCCTGAGTCCATGAATTCTAAGGCAGTTGATTTGAGACACGTAGATAGGTGTATACTGTCGAGCTGAAAAATTTCTTCAGTGTCATAAACCAGTACACATCCATCAAATTAGTTTAAAGATCCCTGGTTAGGTCTGCCAGGAATATCCTCCCGTTTCCTCCGACTGTCACCCTGCACCAAGTTCGACAGTTTGAGTACGTACTTCAGTTCTACCTCCTTTCCGAAGATATTATGCTGATTCCATGCACGCCTTCCCTGTCAGTGAGATGCTTTTTATTTCCGGATGTTGTTACCGCAGTGATGGAATCCATGATCAATTATTTGATAACACCGTTCAACTCTTTCAGTACTATGTCGCCGCTATGGAGAGATATGCTTAGTGCCAAGACGCTGATAGCAAAGTCTCCTTCACCTGTTAGTTTTTTCTCTGGTTACTTTATTTGATTATGATAAGTTTTTGTCATGACCTTTAGTTTATGCAGCGGGCAAGCATTCTAGAAACAACCATTTTCCCCCTTTGAATTCTTTGGTTTGAGCGGCAACATTATCTCTTTTTCATCTGAACTGAGAATGCGAAAAATGAATACTCACTGAGGTCATTTTACAAATAATGGGTCCGTGATATCTGTCTATTTCTGGTAAGCAACTGTACCGCGTCGGGAGGTTGGTTGTTTGCACTGCCACAAAGCCGATTAGCTCTTTAACTCATACTTCATAAGCAGGATTAATATTCTTGATTATTTTGGGCATCTATCTTGCCACATCTATGCTTCGGCCACATGAATGTCTGATGCCTTATCCAGAGTAACCATAAACTAGTGACTGGGTTGCTCGTGATACCATTGTTAAATCGATGAAGGAAGAAAATGACAAAGTTCTTAGCAGCAATGGTGGAAAATTATAATCAGGCTGAATGTAACAACGCTCCTCACAAATCCGTCTATTCGCGATATATCTTCTTGATTTCCTTTAGTACATATAAGCAAATGGATCACTGAGATGACTGGAGCTCAACTAAATTAACAAATCCCTGAAACTACCATCACCCACACAACTACTCACTATAGGGTTAAGGATCTTTTCAACAGGTGTCAGAGCTCTTGTTTTTTGAACTTCTATGGGCACTGCCTTTCATACAAATAAGGATGTAGTATAGGTGAAATATAGTCTGGTATATGTTCGACCCACGGCTTGAGTGCTCGATGGATGTCAGAGTATAACAGGCGTCATCTGAGAGTTGGCTGATACCGTGCAGCCTGGTGAATGGAACAAATTTAGAGATTTTTTAACAGATCGTTGGCACTAACTAAGAAGTCCATGAGCCAGAGTATTTGTGATGATTGCGAACTGTAAATAATATATCACCTGGATAACTCAATCTAAATTTAGAGTGCGATTTTCATCTGGGGAGGTGAATGACTTGAGGCCACCAGAGTCCAAGATTGGAGTCACCTTTGCGAAGCTAACCTTCATTTTCCAAATCTGAATTTAGTCATCAGGTCTGATTCGCGCATTTCTTCATGCAGAGAGCTGCATGTATGATGGCTTCTTTTGCGTAGGCAATGAAAGACATCAAAGAAATTACTTTTAATGACTCACTCCCGACAATCTGAAAGTGGTGTTAGCACTGTAATAATTTCTCAATATAATCGTCACATCTGCCGACAGATGCCCGGTGTTATTAACGAATATTTCACAATATTCTTTAATTTTCCTTGATTATGACTCTCGCGCTCCCGAATGAAGTACTGGTATGCTGCTTGTATAGCGGTCAACTCGAAAGCAAACGCCAACATGCCTTCTATAGCTGCTTCAGGCCTTGGTATGTCTTCGTATTATTTTCCAGAAACAGTTGTTCTTCCCTTCGTCCTCAACAGTACAGCGCAAATAATTCCTACTGCCTACATCAGTTAATGCTTCCTATTAAACTACCATGTGCATAAGTTTCGTACAACATGACCTAGGACCTCAATTCAGGGAACCGATTGAGATTAAGCTGTGGGAAAATATGTCGAAAATCCAATTATCAAAAGGATTTTCATGTGAAAAAATATAACAACGTAAGATCTCGGTGGTTCATTGTTAGAAACGCTCGCTGACCTTGCACACAGTCAGTGCTCGATTTCCTACCTGTGCGCTTCTAAACTTCTCTCCACCGATCGTGAACCCAGTCAAGAGGGAATAGCAACCCCCCTCTGGGGAAAACTGATAAAAAATCCATTACTCTATCTTGAAACCACATGCTTCACAGTGGACGCAAAAGAATGAAAAAACGTACGAAGCGAAATGCCGTAACACCACGTAGAAATGAAGAAGAAAGTGAAGTTTTGAGATAAAACAGACAGTGCGAGAACTAAATCCATGGTTAATCACGACCTAAGTCCCCAGCGATACTGCATCGTAATTTATTACTTAAATGATAACACCGCACATTTTCAAGTCATTGAGGCATGCTATTTTTGAAGTTTGATAGATGATAACGGGAGACATAACAGGCGGAATAATACGTTGCTTTTTCAAAATAATATCTAGGAAAATGTGATGTGTTGCCATTCAATAACTACCTAGCTGACTTTACGGTTGTGTGCAACCATTGATGAGATTTTTGGTGTTCAAACACTTGTTGAGGAATAAGCAGTGGATATCAGCAGACGGCACAGGTTGTCTCAACGACTTCTCACCCAAACAGCTTTTAGCGATGTCACACAAATCAGAAGATAGCTTAGGTCCGTCTACTTGCAACCCACACTGTCGGTTGTAATTTCGAAGGAGACATGGTTGTCACACTGTCGAAAACTGAAATGACATCAAGTGGTGTGAAAATTTATAAAAAGGATCGAGAAGAAATGACTTTTGGGGGCTCTAGTGTACATGATCAACAAGCTCTGTTGGGGCCGAGGCGCTAACTTAACACTGACCAAACTCATGGATATAGCCTGGCAATGAACGAGTGATTCATAGAACCTACAGATACAGATGTGAGGCATACGCTGCAGAAGAATGGAGCCATCCAAATGGCTTAGACTATAGGTTGTGAGAGAGTCATTGCCGTTAGTGGCTCCGATACACTAATCACCATACGCGAGAAACACACCCACACAGAGGCTTTCAGTAGAGAGCTGCCGGATTGTGCGACTACTGCTGGATTGCATGGTTTCATTTTGGGTGACACGTACGAGTGACTTTACTGTATATTTAACTGTCCCAATTATCCTGAGAATGCGGGATAATTTCAGTTTATATCCCCGCTAAATGTGGTGCTATGTACAGGTATGAAAAAGTTTTTCACATGTGTCGCGGGATAAAATATAATAAATTGATGTGTCTGAGAGAAAAAATAAATACCACAAACGAATAAGAATTGGGTGAATCGCATCACTTAGTTATGTGGTATAAGTGTGAATATATCCTGGGAATCTTACTTTTCTTCCAGAACGCGTTTTCTTTGAGGGCTCGACAGAGGGTTCGGTGGCTTTCGACGTGCTAGTGGTTT